TTCCTTGCCCGCTCGCACATGCACGCCAGGACCTTGGTGGGAGTGGTAGATCTGCTAGAAGATTACACAGGTGTCCTGAGATGAGCTCCACGAGAACAAAGATCTATGTGGAGCAAAAGGGCAAAAGTTCATTTGATTTGGATTTCGAGTACGAACGAAATTGTGCGCTTCTTCCTTGAGAGATCACTGGGTAGTGGGTGGGCCCGCTGCACCGCCAGTGGAGCTGACCCCGGCGCGGGAAGCCCTCTGTCGGACATCCTCCCTGGGTCATAACCCCCGACACCTCCACAACCCTTCAAAAAAAAAAAAAAAAAAAAAAAAAAAAAACTGTGAGAACGTGGCCTATTGATCCTTTAGCGTTTCAAAACTTCAAGCTAGAGGTGTCAAAGCAGCTACCACATGGATAACAGGCTTGTGGCAATCAAGTGTTCACAGTGACGCTGCTTGTTGCTCCCCCGAAATTCACGGTGCTACCATATTCAAGGGTCATCATCATCATCATCATCATTGCCGCCGTTGTCGACATCATCATTGCCACTGCTTCTCACCTTCATTGTGCGCATTCCATCCGGCGACCTCGTCGTTCCATCGGGGGAACGATCGAGAAGACCCTTTAGGCCCTGGGGTTGATTGAAGACCTTCCAGGACTAGGAGGAAGGACCTTGATTGCTCCCGACCAACCGAGAGTGTGGTATCGTCAATCTCACTCCTTCTTACTTATTCCCTCCCTTCCTCCCACTGATCTCTCCTAAAGTTCTCACCTTTTTCCTCTTCTTCCATCTCCTCTTCATCCCCCCTGTCCTCCTTTCCCATCCCACCCAATTTGTCGCATCATCTAAAATTCCTAATGCGTGTGACGCGTATATCTTCTTTTTGTGCTTGTTTGACAATGCCGTCTGTGTGGAAAATCGACCTAATTCGGTAGGATTAATCTTTATTCTCTTTTCTTCCAACGCCGCGAACGGAATTAATTCAGGCTTTTTTGTTCAAAAGTTATGTGAATTTTTTTTAATATCAAATTC